GAAAATTTTTCTTAACTTTTTGGCGGTACCCCTCGCTAAAAACAGAAAATTTTCCAGGTTATCAAGTGTGCTGAATACGAAAAAGCACTTTTTTTTAACTCTAAATGAACTTTAATTTTTTTTATCGGTGATATGTTTAACTAAAATCAGATCTGAATCAGTTACCGTCGAGTTTACATAAAGTCAGCTATTAGTTGAACTTTCAATTATAACAGAATTATTTTAACCCTCTGAATTAGCCTATTAATTGGTATTACTTTTTCACAATATTGGTATAAACATTTTCTATTCCTTATTTGTGTAATTTTAAGCTAAACTAGAGCTTTTAGCAGGAGTAAACTAAAATTTTTATTTTTTAGTTGAACCTCAATGGATAATATAACTTGGAAGTCAATTATAAGATTAATTTAGATTAAGATTCTCGGGCTGTCTTACATATCGTCACTAAAATTTCGTTCTCAATACTGAATAAGGAGGAGTTACACAGAATGATGATAAACTTTCTAAGAGACTTCATACATATTTATCATTCAACGAAATGGTTGATGTTCATCCATTACACACACTTTTCAAACAAAAAGAAAAATTGTATAAAAACTAATGTTTTTATTTAGCACAATAATTCGAGTTTAACAAGTAGATCAATTTTGTTGTTAGTAGTATCCAAAGATGGCAGAAATATATATATATAGATCTATCTAAGAAAGTAAATGTCTAGAGGAAAAGAAGCGAGAAACTGAGTTACATTAAACTGTTATTTGTGAGTTTGTGAGTTGTTATTTTCGGAATCTAAAAATAAATAGTCCAAAAAAATCATTGATTACTTTTTTCATCAGAAAAAGGTCGATTTATCCGCGTGATCTCCTCTTACTATTTGAAACGTGAACCCATATCATATTTGTCTTTTATTAACGCTTTAAACTGAAGGTTCCGCTGTTTATTATTTCCTTGATTATTATTTATCTATAGCTAGATACTAGAAAAATACAACAGTAAATAATACATTGGGACGTTTACCAAATGAACTATCTGAACATATTTTTATCTATCTTAATTAGACAAACATTATTTATCAATCATTTTTAAATTTGAATAAACGTTTTAATTTATTTATTGATCCATATATAAATAGATTATCTTTAGATTCTGTTGATATTAAAACAAAGAAAAAATATATTATTTCATATTCATTGAACGTAATAAAATTAAATGACGATCAATTAGATGAAATATTTCCATCATCATCATCGTTAAATTCTATTTATCCTTGTCTAACTTCAATTATTATAATGAATATGTCATGTCCTACTCCAAAATATTTTTCATTATTTAAAAATATTTAAATCATTTATTATGACATTGAAAATAAATTATTTTATCAGTGCTGGATATTATTATGATACACAATGGGCAATCAAGTGGACATTAGGTAAAAAAAATAAAAGTGCACTTTTTCAAGCGTCAAATACTGGCAAACATACTTTGATATATGGGCTATCTAATGGCAAAAACTTTTTGTTCCAAGTTTCATAGTCAGTTAGAAAACGCCTAGAGAAAATTGTAGCGAAAAGTTTAGTTGTACAAAAAATACAAGCCTATATTTCTCGAAATCAGCATAGCTAATTAAAAATGTTGCACATATTCCGAAACTAGATCTTTTCTCTATCGATTGGTAAAAAAGCTTTTCTTGGACCTTTTGACATTGGAAAAATAATTTTTCTTTGTCTACATCCTGGATTTTCACGTAATCTCCATTTTTCTCAGTTCAGAAACGCTTTTTATTCAATAAAAGTTACATATTCGATATCAGCGTCAAAAACTACATCGGATGATATGTGTATGAGGTATTTCCAAACAAAAAATGTTTCGATCTAGTGTAATGCGACAGTTTCAACGTACTAACCGACACAGCAATTTTGGCTAGACACGTGAACATGTGCTAGAAAAGTGGTATGAAAGTCTCTAAGCACTCTAGGTTTTCGGATGTGCTCTTTTCAATAGTGTGATATTCAAACTTTCAAAGTTGATTTTTACTGGTTTTCCAGAGATCCGATCTCTGAAAAACCAATTCGAACATATTTCGGAAGTTTCAAAATCATTCTTCTGGAAATATCACATACGTAAATCTAGAGAAAGAGTGCTTGAGACTTGCATACCAGTTTTCTAGCACATGTCCATGTGCCCAGCAGAGCTCCGTATGGACGGGGGTGAGTCCATAGTTCAGTCCAATCCATGTGAACTGAACTAGATTGAAAATTTTTGAGTTTATGGAGTCGAACTGGACTAGACTCAAACTTTCAAGACCATCGACTGGTCTCGACTCGAAAAAAAATTTTGAATTGACGAAAAACAGGTTGTTAATTTAAAATTTGATCAGTAAAACAATTGAAATTAACAACAGATAAAAGTGACAACTTTATTATAAATGTTTATCAATTAAAAATTTAACAATACATTTAGTATCTTATTATGATTTATTAGTATTATTTAATTAATTGCCATTACCTAAATATTTGAATGTTCAAATATCTGGTGATGATGATGGTGATGGTAATAGAGATAAAGCAAAAAATATGTCTACAATAATAAATGTAAAATTACAACATTTCCATTTTAAGATAGTTAAACCTATGCACCATTGAATTAATTATTTCATCATCACTTGAATATTTCTGCATGGAATTGACTACATGTTCAATGATTAATGGAAATGATTTAGAATTAAGTTTATTAAAATATTTATTAAATTTAAAAAAATTTAATTTTTTGTATATTAAATTATCCTTATTATAATGAATTAGATGGAAATGATATAAATAATTATATTAAAAATTATCAGATTAATTATTCATTTCAAAGTTATCCAAATGGTATTATATATAAATTACAAAGATATTGTGTGGTATTTTCATTGCTGTATGAGTTTGATGAAATAAGTTGGATTACAAATAATATTACAAATTATAAAACAAACAATATAGTGACAAGAACAACAGATAAAAGCAAATAGAGAATAAACTTCTTTTCTTCTTAAAACTATTTTCGAAAACTAAATTTTTCATACTCTTGGCGAGACATGTAGAATAAATAAAAAGCTTGTCAGCGTTGCTCCTGTGGAGCAAAAAGGGTAAAAACTTCCGTGACCTTTACTAGCAGCAAGCCTCCTAGAAAAAACACTGACGCGACTATATTTCTACAGGCTTACCTACTAACGTTCTTGTCTATTCTTAACAAGAAATTGAGACTATGTAAAGCTCACATTTCTGTTATGTAAACCTCAACATTTTCCGAGGTCCATTTCCTCCTAGGATTCTTCTTATAAAAATAAATTTCAAACTTCCATCTCCTTCGGAGAACAGAGGTGCCCTTGGAAATTTTCACAAAATGATAAATCCGAGCGTACGAAAGCTAGTTGACAACTTTTCAATCAGTTTTATTTGATGCTTCTGGTAATCAGAAGATAGTATTCGAGTATTTTAGGTGAGAAAAAGATGCTGTCATTTTTTTGAAACTCTAAAAACCCACTATGCTTGTTTCTTTCTGTAACTTCTATTCGCTACGGTTTACAAATCTTTTCTAGCTTCTTTCTAAGTTAAGTCAAGTAAAACTTCAAAAAAATTAAATAAATACATTAAAAGTGAAGTTTGAATTTTTTAAGTCAAAAACAAATCTTTTTTTTTTGATAATTTATTCATTTTCCAGATAATGCATGAAGAACTTTACAAACAAATACCATATTGAAAAAACTTAACTTTTATAAGTTTTCTGCTGAAATCCCGAGAATCGTGAATTCCACTGGTAAAAAATCGATCATTTTTTTTCAAAATCCTTAGAGTAGGGATGGAATTCTGTCTGATAGGGTCATATGAAGGGCACAATTTTAAACGATGTTTGTTGATGTTGATCATATTAGTGTTGACATCGTAAATCTGCATACATTATGAGTCATGTCTAGGAAGCAGAAAAGAATAAAGAGTTAAAGACACTTAGCTATCAAAAGTACATGATTTATTGCGAAAGAAAATGCTCGGACCTGATGTCCGCTTGCACTGCAGTATAAAAAGAAAAAATGTAAAATTGATAGAGAGATTAACATATTTTTGTTTTGACATTAAAAGAAAAGGAAAATTCATTTTTCTACTTTTGTACATGAAAAAATATATATTTCTAGTTCAAATTACAGCTCTAAAAGTTTACAAACAATTGTTTTTATCGGGTTTAAACGCGGAAGTAAATGATTCAGTTCACGTTTTCGCTCATGCGAGAGGTAAAAATTAACAATATAGACAATAAGTTTATTATATAAAACAGCATGAGTGATGAGAGATGAATCAAGAGTACATGCTCTACTACTCTTTACTCTACTTGCGCCTAACGCGAAAAAAGTCAGCGAAAAAAAAACTAAATACTTGAATAAGTTACTTTCATTTGTTACAAAGTATCGTTTTTGATAAAATGGTTTATCCAAACAACACATTAGACGAAATACGGGAATCAAAATGAAAATTCCTAAGGAGCAGAATACACTATAGAGGGCGCTGTTTTTGTAAACATTATGTGTGTGAATTTTCTGAATCATGAAAAATAAAAATAGAAAATAACAAAATTACACTTGGTCCTTGTTTGTAATACTCAAGAGCGTCATTTAATGAATTTCTTTCGATCAGAAGGAACTGAAGATACGTAATGAACAGTTCATAAAATAAGCACATAATATCTAGAGCGCTCATATCATAAAGAAAATGAATGTATTATACCTTTACTAACCATGACTCAACTTTACAGATGGGTGAGTATCTGTCCTATGATGCGTCTATTTTTTTTTATCAAAGTATGGTTACATGCAAAACGTGTTCTTCTCTTATCTATTACATCACCTTAGGTAGATAATTAATTAGTCAAATATTCGAAATTAAAAACTAATAAAATGTATTGGAATATCGAAGAACGTCTTTGTAGTCGTTCACTTTCAATTTTACGGATAGTATTTTAGAATTATGTGGACTGCGAAGAAAATTTATTTATTTTTGATTTTAATTTGGCTCATCGGTATTTATTTTATTTCTGATACATTTTATCCATCGTTGCCAGATAGTAACGAAACAATTAATGATCGAATCGAATATTTACAAACAGAAGTTGATAGACTTCAAAAACAAATATTAAAATTAGAAAATGATGCAAAATCAAATAGGTAAAAAACTCAAGCTATTTATTTCAAATTTTCTAAGTCATCAACTAAATGCGTTGTATTAGTGTACAAGGAAATGTAAATTCAATTGACAATTGTGAGAAGTTAAATGACGAATTACAAAAAATAAAGCGACAATTTGCATCTAAAGAGACTGTTTCATCAAAATGTATGTTATTTATACTCCGCATATTGAATTTAATATACAAAAATACTGTCGTTATCTTTCACTGTGTTTCTAGTTGAACCTAGTTTGGAATATGAACAATTAAGACGAAGAATTGAAAAACAAGTTCGTGAACAATCATACTTTATATTAAATCAGTTAAAAAATTTAAGTGAAGTGCAAAATGTCAAAGATAAACAACATTGGAAAAATGTATTGATTCGTTTTGGTGATCAAAGTAGGTCGGTTGATAAAAGATAATATACACTTAAACAGCAGTTTTATTTGCAGAAAAATTAAATGTTCTAAGTCTAAAGTTACTAATTTATCTTCAGTTTTTGCTAGAAAAGATCTGAACTGGGGATTTTTTTCGGTATCCCTTATTTGGGTTGGCTTGCAGCATTTACATATTACCGCATAATTTTTTACTAGAAGAGAAGGGCTGATATCTTTGTGGTAGTATCAATTCGATGTTTTAACTGTGAAATCTTGATTATTTTTTCACGATAAATTTGATATATCAATTAGCGTTAATAGATTAATTGAGGTTCAACTGTCACATTCAGGAATGTTAGAGTACGGTCTTTTCGCCTTTATGATGAAAATGCGACTCATAAGTAACTTCTCTTATAAACTGCATTTTTTTCTAGTTTGTTATTGGCATCAATACGGAACTTAACAAACGTTGATGGTTACAATTCTTGGCGTGAAAAAGAAGCAAAACGTTTATCTGATTTAATCCAAGCGCGTTTGAAAAAATTACAAAATCCGTCGACGGATTGTTCTCAAGTCAAACGTCTTGTATGTGATATAAACAAAGGATGTGGATATGGCTGTCAAATTCATCACGTTATGCACTGTTTTCATATTGCCTATGCGCTCGGTCGTCCATTAATTCTAACATCTAAAAAATGGCAGTATAACTCGGCTGGATTTGATACGACATTTAAACCATTAAGTGACAAATGTACAACGCAAATGACAGATGGAATTGTATCTTGGTGTATGTAATTTTCTTATGAATAAAATTTATACTAAATTTCTTTATTTCCATTATCTCTTTAGCAAAATATTACGAATCAACTCAAGTTCTTGGAATACCAATAATTGATGCTTTTCAGCCACGCACAAATTTTCTTCCGCCAGCAATACCGAAAGATTTATCTGATCGTCTCATTAAACTAAATGGAAATCCATTTGTTTGGTTTACAGGACAAATATTGAAATATTTATTAAGACCACAACCTTGGTTATCGAAACTAATAGAGAGCAAACATGTTCAAATGGAATTTGGTTCACCAATTGTTGGGTAAGACTATTCATTAAATTTTTATACTTATTAAATAACTTTTTTTTAATGTTAACTGGTCTCGGTATGATATTGAACAGATGATATTTATTTTCTTTTAGAATTCACGTTAGAAGAACAGATAAAGTTGGTACTGAAGCTGATTATCATGAAATAAGCGAATATATGAAATATGTTCAAGAATATTATGCAATTTATCAATATCAATATCCATCTTTGAATCTTGTTAAACATGTTTATATTGCCACTGATGATCCATCTGTATTCAAAGATGCACGTTCAAAGTAAGCTGACGTTTCTTTACACTCATACACACGTGTAGTTTATGTTATATTTTCATTAGGTTTCCCGAATACGTTTTTCACGGTGATGCTGCTATATCACAAACGGCACAGTTATATTCAAGGTATAAAACAGAATCATTAAAAGGCGTCATATTGGACATACATTTCCTCTCATTATGTGATTATTTGGTGTGCACGTTTTCATCGCAAGTATGTGATAGTTAATTCTTTAAAGTGGTTTAAGGGTGCTCCAGCTTTTTTCCATCTTATTGATGGTCGTTCAATTGAGTCCACATTTATATCAGAGATAGAACATTGAGGAATAAAGTTGACCTATTTTTGCTTAAACTAAAAATGTTTTCTAAAAATCCAATCTCTAAACTGGTTTACATTACGATCTCCCCAGAGCTTTAACCGAGTGAGCCGAAAGTTTGACTACAGATATCTAGAACAAACTCAAAATCGCTTGTTTGCGTTTTTGATTTTTCTTTCTCAAGTTATAAAAGAAAGTCATACGAAAAGCTCAAGATTCTGATCTTAAAAATCCAACAATTCAAGAAGCAAAAGTCAAAACTGAAAACAATAAATTTGAAGTGAAAGACTTTGAGTGGTCGTAATTTGTAGCTGAGACTTTCCTCTATGCTAGACTATGTCCAACTAAAAATTGAAGATGTATTCAGAGAATGGAAGGAAGTACCCTTTATTAGGCTTTTAGTTTACTTGATCGTATAATTATAAAATTATTGCTGCATCATATATTGAATTTAATCATACACCATATTTGTTGAATCATATGCGTATAGATTGTGTGATACAATATCTGTTAAATCAACAGTATACAACATGGTACTGGGA